AAACTAATGATTGGTGCAAAGTTAAACATTCAATTAAAGAAGCAAGCATGGCTGGTTGGAAATATTTAGGCCAAAACTTGAAAAAATATTGGCAGATTAATATTTCTTTAAGTAAATTAGAAATTAATATATATTATAAATATAAGAAATCCGAGCATTTGCTGTAATTGTTATAAAATATTTATCATTTAACAATTATATGTACTTTGTTGGTAAGTACATATTTTTTATAAGTCATTGTGCTACTTTTATTATTCAGAATAACTGAATGTCATGAAATAAATTTGCAATTCTTACGATATATCATACTATATCAATGTTACTAGATCAGAATCGAAGCAGGATAAATACCTTGACTTCAACACTATTTATGAGAATTCAAAATGAAATATAAACGAGCATACCTTTGGAAAATCACTAAATTCTACTTCAAAATTCAGAAGTTGAGCAAGATATTTAAGTTGCTCCTTTGGAGAAATACCAGAAGGATTACTTTGTTGTTGTTCTCGTAATTCTTCAGCAACTACTTGAATACTTGGCCCACTATTTGATTTATTTTCCTGACCACCATCCACTAATAGTAGTCCAGGTACCAACTGTCGTCCAATTGTACCACCAACCGAATGATTTGGGGTTTCATTTTGATGTTGTTGTTTTTCATCTTCAAGGAATGTTACTTTTCGAGGTTTCCCTTCTACATTAGATGTTTCACTGTCTGTTGTTTTGATCGATGATTTAATTGGTTGTATCTCAGGTTTATTATAACCAAGTTTAGTTAAAAGTGCTTCAGCTGCTGCACGTTTACCAAGTTTTTTATTAGATCCGATTCCACGTGCAGTATGATTTCCAATAGAAACTTCCATGAGAAATTCACGACGTCGTGGAGCACCTTTTTCTTCAATCAAAGTATATACTGGTTCTGGTTTTTTCTGAGCTTGTTGAATTTGAACATGTGTTCTTTTATTATTATTTGCTTATCTAAATTTAATACTCATCATTTTATAACATTTAAGACAATAAACTACTTGGCAAAAAATATTAAACATGCATACATGCCTACAAATAAAGTACTTCAACCAAATTAAATGAATAGTGATTTTTTTTGAAATTAGTTTACAGATTAGTTGAAATGAATTGTAAATATAATTAAACTCTTGTAAATGTCATAATTTTAGTTCTAAAAATACAACCTGACTATTTAGATTCTCAATTATTATATTAAGAACTTTTATTCTGCCGAATATTCTATTTTCAAGCTTTAAGACATCAGTTCTTTTTTGACGATGCATCGACAAGTTGGTGTTATAACTGTTCTTTACAATAAACATACTTTTACACCATATTATATTGTAATCGATTCTAAAAAACATAAAAATAATTATACATATTTTCGTTAAATTTTCTTTTCACATTTCATACGAATTATTTTAGTAAAAATTTTTATTTCAAAGACCCCTTCTGATCTTTTATTTGTCATTTTTTCTTTTTCAATAACAATTAAAAACTTGTGAATAGTGGATTTAGTAAACCAACCTTCGATGCATCCTGTTGTCCCGAATAATAAGTCCAAATCGTTAAGACTATAAGCTTTTCCCTGTATTATTCTCCTGAATGAATTGTCAAAATGTCATTAAAAAATATTCCATTAACCCCCAAGAACCTTTTCCCAAAACCCACCTGTTTCTTAACAATGTAGTAGAATAATTGTTGTTTTCAAGAAAGTTCATGAATATTGACAATTCTATTCATTTAAAAACTAAAGGTTTAATTTCTAACCTGTTTTGATCTCGTAGTTGATTTTGCATCGAATGATGATGATGTCGTAACATTATAAAATGAGTGGTAAGTAATCTGGAAGTGTACAATGTTAATAAATTTATAGTCACCACATGAAAGAATTGAGTAAAGTGATTTTTGAGTAAAAAAAAAAAGTAACTGTTAGCACTAAATACTTTAAGATCAATGAAAACATATGAGAACACTATTATTGATATTTAA